CGTTCGATGGGCTGAATTGCACAAAACGCATGATCGCATCGGCTAGTCTGGTGCGCGTTGCCATTTGTTCTATATGCAGCAGTTTCTGGGCCTTGTATTTCATGGTTTCATAGCCCTTAGAGCGTCATTTCATTACCTGACGCAGCTTTCAAGCATATTTGCAGAGGTTATTTAGGAGTCTGCAGCTAGCCTTTGGTTTGGAGGTGAGATCAGGGGTTGCCTGTCAGAACTCTTTCTGATGAAATGGTGCGCCAGAGATAATGTCAAGACTCAAGAATTGGTGCCTGAATTTATACATTTACCTTGAAACTGTGTAAAGTGAAATTAGGCCTGTACTTTTAGGCATGAAAAGCGGGTTGTTTTGCAGAGAAGTAAAAAAAAAAATGATCAAAATATAAACGGAAAAAGGGCCAGCGGGTTGGAATTCTAACAAACCTGTGATGACTTTTACGATCATGCTAACGCAGATCTTATTCTCGCTGGCCATTGCTGCCAGTGTTGTTGTGAAAGTCCGAGCATTACTACGAGTATTCTTGCGTCGATCTGATCACTGCTGTTGCTACTTCCACTTTAATCGGGTTATATCCTTATACTTATCCGACCTTTTCTGCTGTTCCGGCAAAACTTTAGTATCGACTGTTGCGGCAGCGTGCGATTCTGGCTTTTGCAGCGACAGTGCTCTCAGAATGGCTGGTCGGATTTTGGGGGAATGGGAGACAGGGAGAGAGGAAGAAAGGAAAGAGAGGTGGGAAGGGTACGGGCAGTAGTTAGGATTGCGTACGCTCCATTTCTTCTTTTACTACCTTTTTGTCTTGATAATTTCCGAAAACGACTTTCGGATTGGAAATTTGGACGAACACGAAATCTTAAATTTCACTTCCACATGCAGCAAAGCCGTAAAGTGGAAAGTTGGAAAGGTAACAACGATGAAGAAAATGATAAGAATCTAGTTGAGCATTTTGCGAGATTACAAGGCCCCTGCAATACTATAGCACTAATGTAAATGTCCATCTGGAGTGGCGAGGGAGGAAGAGAGCTGAGTGTGAGTTCTCTTTTTCAGGATTGACGGGTGTGTGTGAGTGATGGAGAAACCTGTTATGGTTGAATGAATGCTGCAAACTTCTGGCGTATTGTTTGCCTCCTTCATAAATATACTTCTTTAGCTACTTTACGATTTGATTGCTGTGCCTTCATAGCTTTTCTGAGGACAGATTTTTGATTTGCCGAGCCGGCGAGCTGGTTTGAGTTTGTGGTAAGGG